CAATCATCTCTGAGTATGTTCTCAAAATGAGAAAGGTTTTAATATTAGCCATTGGCACTCCAACCTTGGAAGGCGTTCATATTTACTTAGGGTTGGAGCAACAATGAAAGCTTTTAGGAAGGGAACACACAAAGCTTCAGGGCATCAGCTGTGTTGTGTGTGTGTGTGTGAGTGTGTGTGTGTGTGTGTGTGTGTGTAGCAAAAGTGAGCTTTTTAAAGGGCATGTCCCCATTTATAAAGCCAGGCTCCATCCTCCTTGCTCCAGGCAGCTTTGTTTACCCACTTGGTGGAGCAGTACCCTCAATGACCATGGGATCCTGTTTCCCCATGAAGACTATTTTCTGGTCTGAGCGTATTACAGAGACTGTTCCACCAATGCACAAAATGTAATTCCTGGGCAAAACTAGACAAAGCCAGTGGAGTGGGGGAATGTATGCCCTCTAAAGAGTCTTCCACATTTTTTTTTAATTTTTCAAATAGCAATGACAATAGACAGTTCCAAAAGCTTTCCAAATCCTACCCTACTGTACCTTAAGTTAAATGACCTTCCCACAATCATACGCCGAATACTGCTTCACTATAAACTTACACCGTGCTTCAGTGAAACCTGCACTTGGGAAAAGGGCTATAAAGATAGCTAAAACAGATGAGCCCATTGAATGATCAACCTGTTCACAAAGGAGAAAAAATAGGATATCTGAAGAAAGGAAACAGGGTAAAAATATCAATGCTCTAAGAAGACTTTGGGGCCGCCTTCACTTCTAACAAGGGCCTCAAATTTAACTTATCAAAAAATCAAGAGGTATGTAGCTACTCAAGAAGTTCTTTGAAGATACTTAGGAATCAGCACTTTAAGATACAGGGTTATGGATTACACCAACTGACCACATGAATTCAAGTTTTGTAAGTCCTGCAATACTACCACACCACCCTGCATTCCAACTTCTTCACCTTAATTTTCTACTAGAAACATTTAAAACATGCTGCAAAGATTACTTTGCAAACACATTAACTGATAGATTTTGTAGTGCATGCCTATACCAAGAATACTGGCAATGCAAATGGTAAGTTTGTATTGTTTCCCAACTACTGAAGTGGAGATAATGTCACTTTTACTCACCAGTTATTAAAAAGAAAACCACACGGTTGTCAGGGTCAGTAAGTATTGCAATGGGAAAGAGAAGAAGCTCCATTTCTGAAGTTATGAGAGCTTCTAAGTACCCAAGTTGTAGAATTATTTTCCATCAATAATAATTTTCAAAAAAGCTACTAAATATGTTCAGACCATGGTTAAGAAACCTACTGTGAATTAATGTGCAAAAGAGTCAATGTACTTTTCTTTTTTAAATTAATTTCAATCAGGTCAGGCCATGAAAAATGTGACAAGCTAACATTTGCCCTGTTCTTTCCATATTTGCAGTAGGAAATTTTATTCTTCACAGTGGCTCCATTTATTTGTCCTTTTGTAATTTTTGTCATAACCATATTAGAATCCCAAGTCTTCAAGCTAATGTCTTCAAGCAAACTCTGTGTCACATAAGTGGCCGATATCTCCAGAACTCTAAAATGTGGTCATCAGATCTGAGTACAGAGAGATAAAAGCTGTCACTGAGAATGACCTTTTGTTGTACTTGTGGGAGGGAGAGGTGTATCCATTTCATAAGTGTCTTTGAAATACCCTGACCTATGTCACAATGAGTTATCTGAGGTTTGGTTGTTTTGCAGTGTTTCTGTGAATCAGAATGAAAAAAAATTCAGAATGATCTCCCTCATGCTGTCAACCCAAAGGCACAACCCTGGCAGAAAACCATTCTAAGCTCCATGGGACCAGCTGCAAGGCAAGGATGATAGCAGGCGAGGAGTCAAGGCCTCCCAGTAAGTCACACAGTAAAAGAGGAACTGAGATTCTAGGTAGATAACCAGTCCTATTTGATGCAATTAAACTCAAGTACTTGATAATAAAAGAAGCATCAACAGTTCTCTGGAGCTGAGTAATAACTTCTTTTTCCTTAGAACTGAAGAAAAACTGATAATGTCTCATGGGAAAGGTAACATTGCAAACTAATTATGATTGACTGTGTTTTGTCCCTAAAGTACACAGTCCATATGTAAAATGGTAATACTATATTCACCGGAATGTCATCTAATTCACAGTAGACTCAGACACTTTCCTGGATCAAAACTTGGATGTCACTAGCCTTCTGTATATCACTAAATTTCTAGAATTTCTAGGGTTGCAAAGGTGGTCCATCTGCTCTTTTGCAAGCTTCTGCTCTTTCTCTGAGTCTTCCTCTAAGTACATTGATTCAATCCAACAGCACTAAGGACACTAAAGATCCTCTGGAATGTAAGCTCCTGAAGGTGGGAACTTTCCCCCTCTGGCTCATTGCTTGGTTCTAAGCTTATAGGAAGTCGAGAATCTCAGCCATGGAGGCTGCTATAAGCATAAGTTAATTAATTCTCTAGAACCAAGTGAAGAAGCTAAAGGCTGAAGGAAGCTGAATAAAAATGGAAGAGATGATCACTAGGAGCAATGCTGAGTCACCAAACCCATATCTGTCAAGGGCCTGCAATGTTTGCCGTTACCGTGGCTGATTTGGATCAGGATATCACTCAGGCACACATCACATTACCCAGTAAGTAGAGCTGATGTGAGCCTCAGAAGTTGCATCTCCTAAGGGAAGAAAACTTTGATGGGGCCCAAATATTAAACAATAATTGGAAAAGATCCTGCCTAATTCCAGGCCCCTGCATTCTTAATCAACTTCCCCTCCCTTGACCTCTGGCATTTGTTGCATGTATTGGGTTCCAGGGAGCACCTGAGTCAAGGGTGATAGTTATAATGACAGGAGTTGGACATCGTTCTTCTCCAGCTCCTCCGCTGACTGAGGAGTGAAACAAGGGCCACCTTTGTTACAGTGATTTAATTTCTCCTAATTTATATATAGAAAGTGATGTTGAGAAATTTTGCTCCAGATTAAAGAAAAAAATCAAAAGAAAAGCAAATTCTCTCCCTGGATATCTTGTGTCTTTTGTTTCTTTACTTTATCATCATCAATGAGTAGCTCCAATACTCATTGCCTTTACCAAGGGGTACAATGAAAAACATAGGAAGCTAAAAGGGTGCAGTGTACAGAACGCCCTCCTACTGACTCCAACAAATAACCATTGTTTTATCTACTGAGAGAAAAATATCCTTTAAAGTTATTTTGCTTCCTAGTTTTATTACAAACAGAAAACATCAACCCATGGCATTCACCATCTTGTGTCTTGAAATATGAAAGTTAAGGGAAAACTAATTAGGGATGGAGAGATGAAGCACTTGGCAAGAAGGATGAAACAGCCAAGGTGAAAGATTGAAGCTTCATAGACAAATTGAAATCTAAAGGGAAAGTTTAGACAGCAGTAATCAAAATGAATGATAGCACAGAAAGCCAACGGGGTGGGGATGTTGGAGGCAGTAATCCTATGTGGTTCACTCATATAAGATGACTATCTTTCACTAACACTTTCCTACATGGTCAGTATGAGCACCCACTGTCAGAGAACAAGAACAGAAGTCGTTAGAATTTATAACTCTTCTTATGCATTGGCTAGATACGATGAAATATAGGGTTTACTTTTATGGTCAATATTTCAAGACTCCAAGGCATGCAATATTTCTAAACAATGTGAGAACCTAAGACTTCATACATTCTTTAGGAATTTTCCCCTCTCCACCCCTCTCAGCACAAACCTGGATCTTATTTTGATGCAATGACTTCGTATATTAATACATACAATTTTAATAATATATTTTCTTACCTGGAAAATGCTGCAATATTATCAGCCAAGGTTTCCTGATCATTTGCCCCTGACCTGTAGTAGTCATAGACAGACTTTTGAAGGGCTGATTTAGCATGTTGTTCATAGTCATTGATACAAACTAGCCGGGGGAGCATTTTTACAGATTATTGCAAACTTAGGTGCTTTGGGCTTTTGTTTCATGTGCATCCCTCTACTCCCTGATAATTCTGTTATTTGTCAATTATTAATAGGCTTTTACCAAAGTTCATATTTAGCTCTCTGTCACTTGCATCAAGTGAGCAAACATTACATGCTGAGACTGAGATTTCATTTGCAACTCTGCCAAAGAATACCTAAGCCACAAAAAGTGGGGGTTAGGGAAAGAGCTGGAGATGATCAGGTGTTCATCACAGTGAAAAAGCTGAGGAATGAGCCAAAACTTAAAGACTTAAGCAGTACTTACATGAAACTACTCTTAGTTCAATTCTAACGAAGGTTCATTCTTCCACAAAGAGATGTCTTTGCTCTTTGCTTGATATCCCTTACTTTCCTTCCACACTTAGATCATCACATGAAAAGGAGCTTCCAAAATCAGTGAAGTACCAGGAAACACAGGGCTGCTACACAATGTGAATTTCAGCTAATCATGAGCACTTGGCTTTAACACAGAACATTAAGACCACATTTATTGCTCATTTTTAGAGAATCTCTTGCTCTTGTCATTGGTCAGGGCTAGGTTCCACTCTGGGAGCCCCCACTTTGAGCTGCACCCCAGCTGCCTGCACCTGCCTAAAAACTTGCTCTTGAACTTGGAGCATGAATTTTCATTCATGTGGCATGCTAAGTGTCAGCGCCCTGTGGAACAGCTCTTAAGCATGACTTATGAGAGATGTTGCATAAATACTCCTCGTCCCTCTTTTCTCTGGTGGTTTCCTCAAGTCCCACTTTGCAGAGTTCAGTTGTCCACAGTGTGAGCTAGTTGAGATCTCACACTGCGCTAACTGCTTTCCTTCCAATCCCACTTCCCCACCCCTCAACGGCACTCGTCTCCCTCCCAAATAAACCCCTTCTGTTCAGAAGCTTGTCTCACAGTCACCTTTTGGTGAAACCAAAGCCAAGCCAAGGAGAAATATTAGTACCCACCCCGAGGGGGGACAGTGAGGAGTAAGGGCCCGTCACCAGTGTAACACCCAGCACGCCATGGTATTTCATGAAAAGCCCCAACTCTCCTCTCCTCAATATATTTTACCAATAAGCTTTTTTAAAAGCCCTTATAAGCACAATTTCTAATGCACAAGAAAATGAATGAAGAGATTATTGGGCTTCCACAAGGTCACTGCTGTTCTGCAGCTATTTTGATCCTTCTGAGAATTTCATCACTAGATTTGCAATTAATTCAATTGCCACTGTGCAACCTCTATGGAAATGCCTTCCTGCAGTAATACACATTTATACATCCAGATATTTTGGACAACTGCCGTACATTTCCAAAGCTCAATAGAGTAAACAGGCTAAGGTATAGAAGCATAGAATCTTCCACTGGATAAGAGTTCTCTAAATTTATGTTTGAGAAGGAAAGCATCCAAGATGAAGAATTACCAGGTCTCCCTAGGTAATTTGTGACTTCATTTTGACCTGTGGGCACCAAGGATTCACAGAGCCCAGTCAACTCTAGTCCCAGGCTGAGGTTAATCAAAAGAGCAAGAGACGGGCTGCTGTAGATCAAATGCATTTCCACTGCTGAAAAAGTAGCTAGGAACCGAAGATGTTCAAACTGGGAGTGAGACCAGAGCCAAAAATATAAACTTGATTAGCCTTTCCCAGAAATAATGATAAACAATAAACAAAAAGAAGAGTTTTGATGTGATCAAAGAAGGTTCATTTGTGTTATTGGTTATTTTAAATTTAGGATTCACACTGAAATATTCTAGTGCTCACAGATGCTTACTTCTTGAGGTGCTATGATGACAGATAAAATGACTGATAAAAATTGCTTTTGGAGCATTCAATCCTCTACATCAAAAACATCTCAATTTAAAGTATAAAAAGTCTGTTGATATGCTCAGGGAGTTCTAAATAGCTCAGTTGGGCAGTTAGCAAAATCATTATGAAGGTTGATCTAAGGGATCTTAATTGCTGCTCAGTGCACCATACAACTCACATAATTGGGATGAAGAGGCAATTTAGCATGGTATAATAAGCCTTAAGCAGGTCAAGTCCCAGTGAAACAAAAAGGAGAAGTAATGGCCAAGGTTTCCTCAAGTGGGATAGTGGGCCAGAAGCATCAGTGTCTCCTGGACACTTGTCAGGAATGGACATCTGCTGGTCTCACCCACAATGAGCAGATGCAGCCCTTTGTCCAGTCACAAGCTGTGCAGGTGATTCTGATGCACAGTATGGTTTAAGAACCCTCATTCTGTACCATGGAGAAGAAAGGAGGGTTTTTTAAAAGCACTTGAATTTAAGAAACAAACACACAGCCAGGCATGGTGGCACACGCCTGTAATCCCAGCACTCGGGAGGCTGAGGCAGGAGGATCACTGTGAGTTCGAGACCAGCCTGGGCTACACAGTGAGTTCCAGAGCAGTCTGAACTACATAGTGAGACCCTGTCTCAAAAAAACAAAAAAACAAAAACAAACACACTCTGCACTCTCCTGTACTATTGCAGCTCAGCAGTTGATTTTGAGCACCACTGTGGAAAGGAGGCTTTGAGAGGTAATCGTGGAATTAGTATCTTGGATAGGACTAAAAGAAGCAATTGGAATTTAAAAGAGCTTTTTTTAATATGTGATGATTCTAAATGATCTCTCATTCTTTGAGAGACAATACAATCCATAAAACTTCTCTGGGCCTTTGGTGTGAGAGGCTGAAGAGACTTCTTAGAGCTGCTAAAGCCTTCGTTTATATCCTCCTCCCCTCCTATGTTTGGAAATCGGGATGGTAAACAGGAATATACATAACATCTGCAGGGGTCAGGTTTCCTCTTTCACGGTGGCCAAATAATGGGATTTTTGGTTTTGGTTTTAGTTTGCTTTTACACCAGACTTAATAAAATATTTTTTAACCATTGTACAGTAATGTCTATTAGCACATATTTGTAATAACGCATAATGACTATATTAATCATGGGTGCTGATACATAGACATATTACATCTTGATCCCTCTTTTACTTCTCCTCTCCTCCTCTTCCTCTTCTCTCTTCCCAATCCCAAGTCCCTTCCCATCTATACAAAGACTACTTCTCTATTTCTTGTCATCTTTCTTTCAATGTGCTCTTTAAATTACCTACACTTTGGGTTTGTCATCAGAGAAAACGTGATACAACATACTAAATCTGTTACACTTCGCTTAGCATTATGGTCTCAATGTGCATACACTTTCCTGCAAATGATTAAAGTTTACTCTTATTTCTTGCTGTATAGTGCTCCCTTGCTTATATAAACCACTTTATCTTTAGTCATCTTTTTGATGGGCCTATGGGCTGCTCCTCTATTTTAAGTACTATGAATTATGCTGCTATAACATGGTTATCCATTATCACTATGCAATATGGTGTCTTTAGCTCTTTCAAGAAGACACCCAGAAGAGGTACAATTTCTATCTTTAGTTTTTTGATGAATCTCCATACTGATTTCCATAATGGTTATACTAGTTTACATTCCCACCAACAATGAAGAAAGGTCTCCCCAACCCCCACAACCTCACCAAAATTTGTTGCTTTTGAGTTCTCGATGATAACCTTCTGGAGTAAGATACAATCTTAGAGTTGTTTTGATTTGCATTTCTGTAATGCATTTAGGTGCTGAACATTCTTTTCATGCATCCATTGTTCGTTTTAATTTCCCATTTTTTGATTGGGTGTTTTGCTTTAAGATCCAATATTTTGGAATTCTTTATATGTTCTAGATATTAGACCTCTATGGAGTAGCTGGCAAAATAGTTTCTAATTCTGAAGATTGTCTCTTCACTCTATTGTTTATTTGCTTTGCTATGCAGAGCTTTTTAGCTTGATATGATCCTATTTGTTGATCGTTTTACTTATTTTTCAGTAGGGGTTCTGAAAGACTTTGTGTCTGTGTCTTCAAGAATTTTACTTATTTTGTCTTCCAGCAAATTAAGGGTTTCTGTCTTTATATCCAGGTCTTTGACAATTTTGATTTGATTTTAGTACAGAATGAGAGATACGGTCCTATATTCATTGTTCTGCCTATGGATGACCAGATTTCCCAGCAACATTTAAAAAGAAGCTAACTTTACTCCAACAAATACTCTTGGCCTCTTTGTTGAAGATCAAACGGCTGAATGTGCTTGGGACTCTTCCTGCATTCTCAGTTCTCTTCCATGGGTCCATAAGTCTGTTTGTGTGTCAGTAAAATACTGTTTTTATCACTGTAGTTTTGTAATATAGCTCGAAATCTAGGATTGTGAGCTTCCCACTTTACTCTTGCTGTCCAAGATTGCTTTTTTATTCTGGGTCTCTTCTGGTTCCATATAAATTTTACGACTTTTTTCCTAGTTCAGTGAAGAATGCTGGTATTTTGATTGGGACTGGATTAAATCTATATATCTATTGAATCAAATCTATAATTTTTGGTAATAGGTCCATTTTGAAAATACTGATTCTGCCTATCAAGGAACAGGGACTGTCTTTCCATTTTCTATTGTCTTTTTCAATCTTTTTTTTAATGGAGTACTATAGTTTCTATTATAGTTCTTTCACTTTTTAGGTTAGATTAATACCTAGCTATTTAAATTTTGGAGCCTATTGTGAATGGGATTATTTTTCAGGTTCTTACTTTGCATGAGGTGTGTCTCCTGCAGGAAATGTATGGTTACATTTTATCTTTAGACAAAATCTGCCATTCTGTGTCTTTTGATTGGGGTATTAAGACCATTAAAATTATGAATTATTATTAAATTATGAATTATTATTAAATTATGAATTATTATTATTAAAGGTATTTCCTGAAAATTGACATTGTATTATTTTTCCACTAATTCCTTTATTTCTTTCTTTTTGTCCCACTGGGCTCCCAGTTAGGTACACACTTTTCTTTTGGCCTTTTGGTGCTCCTGGCCATCCCATCTCTGTTTAGGGTTCTCTTAAATGTTTTTCCAGTGTTGGTTTAGTGATCACATATCTCCTTAGGATTTATTTGCCATGAAAAGCCTTTATTTCTCCATCAATTTTCAAGGGTAATTT